TGTGATGTTTAGGAATCTGCAAGAGCAACCTTCAGTCTGGTGAAATGCACCAATGTGGGAAATTTGGAGATATAGCTTGCAGTAATTCCTAGTTCTCAATCTTAATTTATTTTGCCATGATAGAAGGTCTGGCCATCATAATTCTTCAAGTAAGCTTATCATTGTACTTCAATATCTTATGTTATGTGTCCCACTATGACCCAGATCTCCGCCTTCAGTGTGATTCACATGGATTAAGGTATTTTTTGAGGTTTCTAGAAGCCACCCCCCCTGTTTCTGCTAGACATGCCTGGTTCTGTCTAGCCGTTTCTAGCATGAACAGGCCTGCAGGCCTGTTCATGTGAGCATATTCATAAAAATGCATAAAAAAAGTGAAAATGTGCAGAAGGATTGGTAATATTCTTCATCTAAACACTGCCGTGCAATTACATGATTTGATGAATCACCTTGTAACTCTCTCAGCCCAGACAGGTTGTCAAAGGTGTGAAATAATATTCACAGTTGAATATAGGGTAAAGCCCTGTTTGTGATGTTTAGGAATCTGCAAGAGCAACCTTCAGTCTGGTGAAATGCACCAATGTGGGAAATTTGGAGATATAGCTTGCAGTAATTCCTAGTTCTCAATCTTAATTTATTTTGCCATGATAGAAGGTCTGGCCATCATAATTCTTCAAGTAAGCTTATCATTGTACTTCAATATCTTATGTTATGTGTCCCACTATGACCCAGATCTCCGCCTTCAGTGTGATTCACATGGATTAAGGTATTTTTTGAGGTTTCTAGAAGCCACCCCCCCTGTTTCTGCTAGACATGCCTGGTTCTGTCTAGCCGTTTCTAGCATGAACAGGCCTGCAGGCCTGTTCATGTGAGCATATTCATAAAAATGCATAAAAAAGTGAAAATGTGCAGAAGGATTGGTAATATTCTTCATCTAAACACTGCCGTGCAATTACATGATTTGATGAATCACCTTGTAACTCTCTCAGCCCAGACAGGTTGTCAAAGGTGTGAAATAATATTCACAGTTGAATATAGGGTAAAAATTCATCCTAATATCATATATGTCTGTATGGCATGTGCACTTCTTTAAGTTTTTGACATTTGGAAAGTCCAGTCTTTATGATCTGACTAAAAGTAAGCAAAGTGGTCAAAGTGTTGTTCATAGGGGGATTCCTTAGCATATTGCTTGTGAATTTTATTGATTTTACTTGATTTGCTTTGGTATTGATGCTCCCAATACAGAGACAGGTAAAACAAAGATATATTACTAAATGTAAATGTATCTGGAAACTATAATGTAAATTTAAAAAGGGAACAAAATTAGTTGATTGACTTTTATCTTAAAATTGTAGATGCAAACTGGCAATGGAAGAAATTTTATGAACGGTTTGTCAAACCCCTCCCAAGCTCTTAGTGCCTCATTAACTGCTTATGCTTAGGAATTATGCAGCTACAGAACTTTAATGTGAATACAGTTGGATGATTATGTTTGGTATAATCAACATAGAATGCGTATGGTTTACTGTAAGCAGTTTCTTAGATGTGAAATACTTATTACCAGTAATGTTTCTCACAGCAGAAAACAACTCTACATTGCTTCAGCTAATATTATGTCTTTCATTCCAAATGGAAAAGCCAAGTGCTATTGTCCCAAGCATTATGTTTTAAACATCTGTTGATTTCTCTTTGTTCTTGCAAATCTTCATTGATGCAGTTAGTTTAGGTTATGAGCATAAACTCTGCAGAATGAAATTAAAGCATTTATGTTTTATCTGAAGTTATGCTACACATTATGAGTTCTAATAGCCATTTATACATGTGTAGCTTTTTCTATCTCTGTCTGCATTGCTTATTATAGAAGGAATGTACATAAATACTAATAACTTTTCCCTTTTTCTCAGTGAAATTCGTGAGTGCCTGAAGTTGGACCCAGATCACAAGGAGTGCTTCACTTTCTACAAGAAAGTGAAAAAGGTCAACAAACTAGTCACTAATGCTCAGGAGTTTGCAAATGAGAAAAAGTATGAGGATTGTACTGCTACAGCAAGCAAGGTGAGCAGTATTTTTCTGTTCTGTTTTATGAGGGTTTTCTTGAAATTACTTGTATCTTACTCTTCAGTTGGTATTATATCTGTGCGTATCAGTTTTAGATGTATTATTATTACTATAATCATCAGATATTATTAGTTTTTGGGGATGTATTTGTTGATAATATTGTTATTAATGGCTGTATTGCCAGGGTTTTGTGCCGAAACTTTAACTCAAATTTGCTGGGAAAAAGCTCTGCTCATTTTAAGATTATTTTGTGAAATGTCTTTGCACATAGATGGCTCACTCTGCAAGTACTTAGCCACAAAGGATTCAAGTAGTAGCCCTTATGACTATACCTGATTTCACCTTTTCTTGAATTGGCGGGAAAAAAGTTTTTACTATTTTATGAATATTGATGGTGTTATTTTTATGATAAACGTTATAATTACTATAATGTTATTGACATTAGTAACAGCAGTATAAGGTAATGTAAAATATTTTTGAAAATCATGGAAAAGGATAAACAGGCAAGACAGGCAGTACTCGTAATTGACTCATTGGTGACTTAGTACAGGTGTGGCCATCTATGTAAAAAACAATTAATAAAGTAAACTCACAGTGAGCATGTACAATGAGCTGTACAATGCCATTGGATGAAGAGGGGGAGGTTAAAGGGAGGGAAAGTAAGGAGGAATATCACACAAAATATCCTGTAATGCTAAGATTAATCAAGAAGGGATGAAGAGGAAGCTAAAAAAGAATAGAAAGATATAAACAGTCCCTGCATCTATATTATACTTCATTTTCCAGTGTTAATTTCTCTGACATTCTGCAGAAAGATTGGTTGATAGTTATGAGTCTTAGAGGTGAAGTTGAACATTATATTCTGAACATTTTAATTTTCTTTTCTTAGTTCTTGCAAACATATAATGAGTTTGTGTGATTGCAAAATTTTGAATATTGCCAGTTACAGTTTTTAGATGTTTATATTTATAATTTGAATAATCATAAACTAGGTATACCTAATCATTACCCCAAAATAGTCCAAAGAATGGACTTTTAGCTAGTCTTTATTACTCTAAGAACCTTATTGAATAGCATGATTATAATAGACAATGTCATTATTGAGAATTTGAGGCAAATCCCTGGCGTCTAACATTACATCCTCCCTCTTCAGATCCTCAGAGAAGAAAAGGAGTATGAGGAAGTCAGGTTCCTCGCCTACGACAAGCTGTGCCAGTGCCAGTCTCGCACCGACTCAGAAGCTGCTGTGGAGGCATGCCAGAGGGCCATTGACATTAAGGAGGAGGCAAGACTTTACTGTGATATGGCAGAAGCCCTCTTGCTCGATGAGAAATATGATGAAGGTTTGTGTTTTTTTCTTCTTCTTTTTCTAAGTTTTATATGTGGTTATTTAATGATTTATTTATTTCTCTTTCTTTTTCCATTATTTAATTATTTCTGTTTTATTGTGTGTTTATTTTCAGACTTTTTATTCTCCCATGTTTGATATATATTGCTCTATTTTTGTGTAAAGATAATGTTAGGTAATGCTTGACATGCTTGCAATATTATATTCTAATATGCAATTTCAAGCTCTCTCAGTTCTTGTCTTGCTTGTTACTTTTAGTGGCAGGTATCATTTTGAAATACATTTTTTACCCAATGCCGCCGGGGAAATTGAACAAAAAATGGGGAAAATGCCGAGCCCACTTTCTATGCTTTTCGTGAAATGTCTGCCGAAAGATGGCTCTGGTAGCGCCTGATTTAAATGGCGGGAAAAACGTATTTTTCACTAGTGCTATGAAAATCGATGGTGTTATTTTTATCATAAACATTATAATTTTTGTAATGTTTTTTAACATTAGTAACAGCAAAATAAGATAACGTGAAATATTTCGTAAATCAAAGAAAAAGGTAAATGGGTGAGACGGGCACTACTCATAACTGGCTCATTGCGGAGTTAGTACAAGTGTTGCCATCTATGCGATAAAACAATCAAACAAGTACTCACGGTGGGCATAGCACGTACGTACACGTCATACCCGGCGGCATTGGGTTAAACCCTTTGATCTGGATGATGTGACCATCGTGTCAAAAAAAAATTTGGCTTGAGAGGTGGTCATAGAAATAAATTGGTTGTTGGATGTGTTACATGGACTTAGCATTGGAAGTGTTTGAGCTGAAGGCCAGGTGACGGGAAAGACTTGCTGTGAGTGCACAGACCCCTTGGAAGGTGATTAGACTCATTTGAAGTTTAGAAAGAGGCTTTTGCTTTATTTTGGTTGATAAATGAGTGTGGAATGTAGTGTCCATTAGCCGTGACTGGAAGAGCACTAGCTCCAGGGAGGACACACTTTCCATGCTCAGCATCCTATTCCTGGCCACAGTGATTGGTGGTGCAGGTTATAATATAGAAAATTAAATATTACTAAAGAAAAAACAAACAAACTAAAAACGTATATGCATAAAAAGAGAAAATAACATTGCAAAAGGGAGGTATAGAGTCATGTCACCATACATGAGTGTTTGTGTGTGCCCGGATGACAAGCCATGCATCCATCAGAGTGGCCGCTCATGTAAGCCTAATGCCAGTATTGTGGTCCATGTGATTGCTGTCAAGCAACTGGATCCAAGGGGTTGATATACTATCTGGTTATGAAATATTTTCAGCGATCTTTCATGTCTAATGTATTTTTCTCTGTCCTTTGACTTCCAGCTTTAAATAGTTACCAGAAAGCCCTCAATATTGATGAAGGGCTTCAGAGAGCAAAGGAAGGTGTCGACAAGGTGCAGAAACTTAAAAAACAAGCTAGTAAAAGAGATTATTATAAAATCCTTGGCGTTAAAAGAACAGCTGGCAAGGACGAAATCAAAAAGGCTTATAGGTAAGGACTGTTTTTGTTGGTTTTCATCTTTCTCCATATTTTGTGCTTTTTGCACATGCTTTCAGCTGAGCTAGAGAATAGATTAGAGCTTTAGATTATAGGTATATTGTAATGTGCATGAGACATATTCTTTTGGCAGAAGTGTTGTTTATGCCATCCAAAACTCACGTATGCTAGCCTGTGTTGGAACTTCTATCACAAAGATAAAATATTTGCCAAATACCCATTTCTTGTCCAACTCCTATATGACTTGGTTGAAAAGGACCACCCATGGCTACGCATTCACCCTTGGATACTTATGTGTACTCTTAACCAGCTGATAAAATTATAAAAAAGAAAGAAGTATAAACATTTCCAAGAAACTGCTTGCTACTTGACATCACCCGTTTGACTTGAAGCATGCTTGGACCAAAAGACCTTAAAGAGTTGTGCTGTCAGTGCTTAGTCACAAAAGAGTCAATTACTAGTCCTACCAATCTCACTTGTTTGTCCTCTTCTTTTAGTAGTGGATTTTTTTTTACTGTTTGTATTGTATATTAATTATATATCAATAATGATAGTATCAATATTGCTAGCATCAGAACAAAAACTGATAGGGTTACATAGGCCTACTAATTGACTATTTGGTGGCTGAGATGGAGTCAACTATGTGTTAACACAATTCACAAAGCAAAGCTACAGTGGGTATTAAATGTTCCTGGTGGTAGTGAGGTAACAATTAAACACACATTGGTCATGGCATGGAAAATAGGTTGACTTATGAAGGTATTAAGTAAGAGACTTTTTATTTGTAGAAAATTAATGAATATTATTAGTTTCATTAAGCATGTAGCATGGCCTAGAATTAATATGTAAATAGTGACAAAATAAGAATAAAATTTTTGTATGACTGTAGAGTATATAAAGAATTAATTACCTCTTTTTTCAGTTGAGTGCATATATGTATTTTTACTAAAGATTACTGAATAACTAATGCTATGGTAACTTTTTTCCTTCACAGATCATTAGCACAAAAGTGGCATCCAGACCACTACGAAGGAAAAGAGAAGGAGAAAGCTGAAAAAATGTTCATTGATATTGCAGCGGCAAAGGAGGTGCTGACCGATGAAGGTAATCTTGCATACTTACCATTTTGTTATGATTTTATTAAAAAAGGAACAGAATTAATAAAAAATAATTGATCATTTACTCATTCCTATTTATACCTTGGTAATCAGTTTAAATAGAAGTTCTGCCTATCATGGCTGCTAACACTAGGATAATATTGAAATTGTTTTTTTGGTACTTGACTATATGTGAATTTTCTGGGGTGATGCCCTAGTTTCTTTTATTTTTGTTCTTCTTGACTATTCAAAGGTTCTCTGTTTACATCTGTGTACTGAAGCTTTAACAATAATGTCATCATTTCTTATGTAGATCATCTGTGTCATTTATTTACCTACTGTCCTAGGGTATACACTTGTGCTTATATGAATTAGTTAAGAAGTTTGATAGATGGATGTTGATGCATTGTTTTTTTTTTCTCTCTCTCTATCTTTATCAATTTTTTTATCTCTATCTTTATCTTCCTTGTGTCCTTGTTCCAACAGAAATGAGGGAGAAGTTTGACCGAGGCGAAGACCCCCTTGACCCCGAGCAGCAGCAGCAGGGCCATGGTGGCCATGGCTTCAACCCCTTCCAGCACTTCCACTTCCAGCACGGAGGCTTCCCTGGTGGTGGATTCCATGGTGGAGGTTTCAAATTTCACTTTAACTAATGCAGTGCATTTTTTAGTGTTTTTTTTTTGTAAATCCTTAGAAAAAAAAGTTTATTTATTATATAACTGGATTTGTATGTGTGAGATGGCTGGAATTACTTTTTGTCACTAAACACAAAATTATGAAAATATCACATTAAATAAAAGTCAAAAGGAAATGTAAGATCATACAAAGTAGCTCATCACTAAATGGGACAAGCTATTTATAAGTTCTACCTTTAAATGTTATCATTATTTACAAAGAAATCACAAGCCTTGATCATTAAGAAATATAATTGGTTGACTGTTCACTGAACAGGAAGTTCATTGCTCTAGAAGGAAAGTCAGTAAAGAAGGAAATGCTCAGGGGTGTCTATGACATCTTACTTGCAACCTGCTTGAATTTAATCTGAAAGTTGAATATTTTAAGGATCATAGTATTTCAGGGATTACAGTTCTAGGCCGCCAACATCGTAAGAAACTTACACTCTAGTGCCTTGCATTTTTGGTCTTTTTATTTTTTGATATATATATTTTTTTTTTTACTAATTTTCTTCTTTTTATAACCTCTTCTTCCTTCATCAGAAAAATGTTTCCTTTAAGCTTTTGATTCCTTCAAGCTTTTGATTCCTTCATGATTTATGTTGTTATTGAACTTCTACTGACAATAAATGATCAATAGATTTGTGAGTGGTGATGGAGTGAGTGTTAAAATTTTGTGTTGATGTGTCACAATTTGTATATCTTTCTAGCTAGAAGAAATTGTCTATTCTGACCATTAGTAGCAAAGGAATGGCACATGAAAGATTCCTCTCCTTCACTAATGGATTAATGTGGATTTTTTTTTGTTGTTGTTGTTGTCGTCTTTCCATTTTTTGTTACAGGCATTTGTTTTGTTATCATAATGTATGATTTTACATTTTCTTTCTTGAACTATCTTTTCATAGAAGGCTATTTGAGAAGCATTTAGTGAGAAATCATATTCATGCAAATTCATGATGTCATCAGTATGTAAATTGTACATCCACATAGCACCTCAAGGTAGGACAGATATCATGTACCATTATGAAATCAGAAAAACATTGTAAGAGCTGAAAGTAAAAGAATTATCATTATTTGATATGAAACTCCTGATGTCATCAGTATGTAAATTGTACATCCACATAGCACCTCAAGGTAGGACAGATATCATGTACCATTATGAAATCAGAAAAACATTGTAAGAGCTGAAAGTAAAAGAATTATCATTATTTGATATGAAAGTGTTACTTCATTTCCTTTTTTCTTCTATTCCAATGCTTTTCTCCATTTCTTCACTTTTTAAAATATATTATTGCACTGTGGCAGTATTACTGCATTACATTGGATTTTTCAGAATAGTGCAAATTATTTATGGCATTTTTTTTGTTTTTTTTTCTGCTGCTAATATAAAATTTGCTTTCTGCTCATTAGGGTAAACATAAATTTGAGTAATCAAGTCATGTAACATGTAGCTTTAATCACAACTGGACATTTAATTCAGAAGTGTATTTAATGAACAGGAGTTACTTTAAAAAATTAATTTCACCAAATTCATGTGTGAACAGTATTGCAGCAACCAAAATATCTTACACTAACTCAGGCAGATTAGGTAATGCTCTGCTTTGTCCCTTGCTCCTGAGTAAAGCTTATTGCTTTCACTTCTAACCTTCATTAGACATGGAAGAGGATTGTTTCATGAAAGTTACCTCCCTCTGTGTAATAGTGTAATGTCCACAATTTGATGGCATTGTACAATCATTTTTAAAAGCAGACAATGTAAGATTAATGTTTAGATGGCAAGATCAAAGATAGTAATGCCAAGACTAAACAGGATAAAGAAATTAGTTGCCTTTGAGATGTTCACCTCTCCATTGAGGTGGTGGTGTCATGAAGCCTCAACTCTGCATCTTATTTAATGCTAGTTCTAAAATCAATTAAATTAGGAATAAATCAAGTAATGTTGTAATACTGATGACATCTCAATCATAGCTCTCCTCTCTTGAATTCTGTCATGAGAAGATTCCCAGATTCCCAGACTTTTTGTTCATCAAGAACAAATTTTATCAATTATAACTTCACATATGGCAGAATAAAATATTCGTGTTGAGACTTGTAAGAGTATTTTCGGAAGTGTTCATTTTCTGAGTATGTGATGTAAAACTAATGGAAATTAAAATGTCATTCATACTGAAATATGCAAAGGAATACATGTTAAGTACAAAACCATGTATGAACATCCATCCCTGTGTATTTAAAGATTGTAAAGGTTACCTGTGGATTTGCAAATGTTATGTATATATGAAATAACAATTTGTTTCTCATGAATTTATCTTATTAATACCCAACTGGTAGTTTTTTGAATTGGAAGTTTTTTTTTTTTCTTTTCCCTTTTCTCATCAAGTCATATTAGGATTGTGTGCAAGATAAGAAGAAAATATCAACTGCTTTCTAGTTATAGGTGATAAAGGAAAGAACACTGACCAAAGAGCACTTTATTGAGACTTTATTTCCCTGCGCAGCATGGGAGGGAAAAGTGACAAGCGACAGGTCGGGGTAGTGGCTGTGTGGCCAAGTCATGACTACCTGCCTCGGCACACAACTGCCCAAAGCCACACACCACAATATCACATTGTGCAGCCACCTGACATCACCTCATTAACATGTTATAACCCAAATCACCGGACATATGGCATACAACATCAATGACTTTATCCACTTCTCAATTTGGCATCTGCCATTATCAACACCAGGTTAATCAGCATGTAATGAGGAGGAGAGGTGACTAAGTGAATATGAAAAATCAGCCATCTTTCACTGCTTAGTGAGAAATACAAAGCTTCATATAATGACAATTCAATCTATGTAGTTTGTTGTACAATAACAACATTAAAAAAAGAAAAAAAAAAATCTTTTGAAGACTAGCACTAATGCAGATCAGATTCATAAATTTCAGTGACCAAAGCTCACATATTTACTAGTCCATGGCTGACCCATCAACATTTATTATTTAGTGGAAAGGTTCATAAATATAATGAGGTGTAGAAAAAAATATACACACATGCACACCTGTACACAATCACACATCAACATGCAAATGCATTCATATCTACATTTCTGAACATACATACATACAAGAAAAAAATAAAATAAAAAATAAGTACAATAAATTCAACATAGTATATTTCAATGATACAAACAATATAATGTATGAAACTCTAGCCTTAAAAATATAATAATGAGATGAAACTTTAATGATGAAGTTAAAGACTATGTAGTGTGTGGCTAAGGGTTACTAGGGACTAGAGTTGACTTGGCTACCCCTCTGTTCCAAGTCATCATCTCTAGCTAGAGCACTTACGTGTTCATTTATTTTTTTCCATTATTAATGATTATATCACACATGAAATTTTTTTAACGCCTGAATCAAGAGTCACTATGGTCTTTCAGAACGTCCTCAGTTCAGTCATAACTGGAATGCAGCAACTTCTCTTAGGTCTGTCACTTCGCGTCACACACGTTTGTGTGTCCAACACATTTGTCTGTTTCTGAATAGGAGATCTTGACAATCTTTGGAAACAAAGAGGCAAACAGTTCTTCACAGCACATTTCATTGTATCAAATATTAACAGATTCTGTGTAGCCTATATATGTTAATATTCTTTAAAATATCAACTATTTTTAAAACAATATAGGTTATGGGGTTTATCAAGCATTGACAGCAAAATATTTGCAATGGATTAATGTCTTTGGCCACTACGAAAACATATGCATGGGTAGCCTCTTTGTATAGGGGTACTACCCGTACTTTGATCACTCAATACTAAACTCTGCAGGACATGACAACCTATCAATGTCACTTAAAACAACTTGCCTTTGCTTGTCCTGAAACTAATTTGTACCACAGAGTAAAAAATGGAACTCCACATTGCTACCAAAATTCATTCAGTTGACATTGCATAATTCTTCTTAATAATAATTTAAATCTGTTTGACTGCACTGTATAGCACTGAATAAAATCTGGTGGCGGCCGTGGAGGGACAAAATGGCCTTCAGCCATGATGTAACATGTGCAGAAGTGCAACTTGACCAATTCCAGAGCCTGTTGTGCAATTTCTGCAAAGAAAAGCCATCACTTTTGTTCAGCAGAATGCATATCTTAGACAATCCATGTCATTCCTGGCAACAGTCACTGGTTTCCTGAGAAAAGATCCACTCTTATCTGCCGAGTTTCAACTTTGCTGTGGCATTCACAGAATCCCATACCCAACTTCCCTAATCAGGGCATTGGATCAGCATATTTTCAGCTCTGTCTTAATTTGGTTATATTGTATTAACAATATTTAAGCTTTTTATACTCTTAATATCCTACAGGGTGTTCATACCCTATTTAACATGATGCAAACACTAGCTGGCTAGGCGAGCTGGATATTTTAGAGTTGTGTTGAGCAGGTCATTGTGCATAAGGAGGGAGTTCTCAGAGTAGTGCAAGACTAAATCCCGAAGACTTGGGTAGATGAGAAATGGTTCAGCAAAACCATAGCCATGTTCTCCCTGATGAATCCTGCAGTGCTGCACTTCCTTGTTGCATCTGAAAGAGAGAAATTTCAAGATCAACTAATATGTTTATATTCACAGTTACAGTGCCAACCTGTTGAACAACTCTTCAAATACTTTGGTACTAAAATTTTACTGAATCTCATTTTTAAATTCTTTTATTCACCAGATCAACACAAATATGGCTTGAAGTAAATACTTACGCTATTGAGAGAGCATAGCCTCCATTCTGGGCTGTTCTGATAAGGAAGGTGCCATCACTCTTGCCTTGCAGAAGATTTACAGCTTCTTCACGAGAGCAAGTATCATATCGCCACAGGGATTCATTACTCAACTCTGGAGACTGTGGAAGAAAATAATGAGATTATAAATCATAGAATAAACTTCCAGTCTTTTAAAACCTATCATGCAATGTATAGGCAACTGTCATATTGTTTATCACTTTAACCTCCTCACACAAACTAAGTACTTACTGGCTGGTGGGGTTGAGAAGGATCTGCCTGTTCCAGCCACTGGTCCATCATGTCTGCTGAAAGACCCCGAGAAAGCAGCAGATTTTTCAGCTTGTCCATCTGCTTCCCAAGTTTCATAACATCTAACTTCAGACCAGTGCACTGACGTTCAACTGCTTGGCAATCTCTCTTTATTGCGGCGAGGCTAATGTCATGCTGATTCCGCGCATCTTTGACCTGTTCTAGTCGGTCAATCAGTACGTCTCTGTTGTTCAACAAACTGCAAAATTGAGGAAAAATGTTAGAACATGGAAAATAAAACAAAAAATATTTATATCATGTCACAAAAATATAACGCTTCTAGATTTTGATGCATAATTGTGCAACTATAGATATGAATTTACTTACTCAGTAATTTCATGGGGCTGTGCTTCCATTCTGAACTTTTCATGGAGTTTTAGGTGGTCTTCAATCCATAAAATGGTTTCATCATAGCTATCAAGGGCTTGGCGACTCATCTGCATATTTTGTGCTAAAGCCACCTGCTTCTCATACGCACTATTGTACTGAGAGGTCTTTGAGACGTACTGCTTATTGAGGTCTGAAAGTCGTCCAAGAATGTCTTCCACTCTCATTCTTGCTCCCTCAGCTTCCTCACAGTGGAAGCGACTAACTGGGTGGAGAAGCTTGATGTCAAGTGCCTTATTGAACTGACTAAGGTCTTGCTGGCGGAAATTCTCAATCAATTCCACAACAGAATTGAAACTGTAGGGTTCCGTGAAACCAAACTTTCCACTGCGATGGCAAATTTTAATGAGCTTGTTGCAGCCTCCTTTCCTAAGAGTAAGTGTGTATTCATTGTTTCCAGTGGATGCGTCTCGAACCAAGAATGTGCCATCTTTGCTGTCCTTCATGAGTACATTCACATTTTCCCTTGTTATGGTACCCCAGTACCATTCTGCATCCTGTAGAGATTTTGGTGCAGTAGATGGGATGTTTGAGTGTCCAGTGCCAACAGGAAGCATGCCTAAGCTACTGCCAGTGGGTGGAGATGGAGGACTTCCACCCTCTTCTCCCATGCTGTGAGATATCCTTGGACG